CTCATTACAACCCTCGTCTCCGTGGTCCCTGTCAGATCCCTGTCCCTTTGCACCGGGACATTTGGGACATCGGTGTTTATCCCCCACTCCGGTCTGGTGACAGCAAAGCTCTTTGCCCGATGGATGAGCTGTTTCCCTCCATCCGCGTGGAGGTGGGACAAGCACGAGGGTTCTTCATGGCCTATCCAACCATTGGGAGCAGTGTCCAGTCGCTCCTGGAGCTCGGTCAGGCTGGTGCTGTGCCCATTCCCTGGGGAGCCTGGGCAGTGCCAGCACCCCTGGGGGAACAGCCTTTCCCTAAAATCCAGCCTAAACCTCCCCTGGCACAGCTCCAGCCCTTTCCCGGGTCCTATCCTAGAGCTGTAGTAACCTGGAGAAAATTCCCAGTGGATCTGCCACCGTGCTGTGTTTTAACCCCTGCAGGTGCTGTGCTTGGAGAAGGGAGTGTTGCTCAGGCAGGTCTTGGCCCTCAGCAGGTGAGAAAACATACATGACCAAAAAATTGCCTTTTTTTTTTTTTTTTTTCCCAAATCTTCTAATAGTGGAGGTAAGACTTTGAGCTGGGAGCTGAAAGGGCTGTGGGATGGGGAAAAGGGGGAGTCTGTGCTGATGGGATCAGGCCTTGCCTTTGCACAAGGACACTGGCCACATATTTTTCTGTGAGGGAAATCAGAGTTATTAGTCATTATCTTGTTTCCCACAGACTTTTTAATCGTTATTTTGTTTCCTACAGAGCAGCAACAGCCAGAGAAAACCTTCTGTGTGCTGCAGGTAAGGTCTGTTGTCAATCTAGTTTTGAGGCAAAAATTCACTTCCCTCAAATAAATATTAAACATTGGAGCATTTGTGTTGCATTTTAGGGTTTTTTTTTTAGCCAGTTTTGGGCTGGTTGAATAACCAGAGCAGGTGCTCTGCCACTTCCATATGGAATTTCACCAGCATTTTCTTCTTTTTGCCCTGTTTTTGGCTAAGCAGGTGACCATAATTTGGGGTCCTCAGAGCCCCTGTAGGTGTTTGTTTGCAGCTGGAAACAGGTTTGCTCTGCTTTCATTTTCAGGTGATGCACTCCTGGCTCCCCACAGATCCTACAGGTCCCGACCTACCCATGGAATTGGGAAGTTTAAATACCTGCTCCCAAAGGAGGTAGGCAGAAGGATTTCCCTCCCTCTGTGCTTGCTTTCCCAAGGTGATCCTGAAGCATGTGGATGCTTCAGGATCCACAAGCCTGGAATAGTGGAAGGTGTGCCTGCCCATGGCAAGGGGTTGGAATGGGATGAGATTTAAGGTTCCTTCCAATCCAAACTGTTCCATGAAGTGCCCACACTGCAGAAATGCTTCCTCTTGCCCAGCACATTCCAGCTTTGGGAGGGAGGAACCTCCTCCTGAGGTTAATTAATAACTCAGTTTAATGCCTGAATTTTGTGAGCAGCTCTCACTGGCTGTAACCTTTTCACACTCCCTGAGATTTGGAAAGACATCCATTTGTGTGGAGGGAGGAAACAAGAAGAAGGCAGACACCTTTTAGGCAGGAACTGAAATAAACAGCAGGTTTATTTCTACTGGTTTATTTCTACTGTTTTTTTTTTCTTTTCTTTCTTCCTCTGGAAGAATTTAATCACAGCATGATTGTGTTTTCTCTGTGAGGCCATGCAAGAGCTGAACCTTTAATCCCAGCATTGTTCAAACCAGACACTGTTTTATTTTGTTGTGTTTTCTTTGGGAAAACAGGTTCCAAAGAGGAAAAAGGAAAGAGTGCAGATGAAAGAGATCAGTGCTGGCACTGAGTATGAGTATGGGGATATCAACATCCAGATGACTTCCTATGATCTGTGCCTGGTGGAGCACTTTGCTCAGTACGTCCACAGACTCTGCAACAGGCTCTCCATCCGGGTCAATGAGAGGTATGAGGAATTCTGTCCCTCTGGATTGTGGCCCCCTGCACAGCAGGCCACACTCCAGTCTCCCCGAGGGATTCCCATTTGGGTGTCAATCCAAACCCCTCACCTGCCCTGTGTTCTCCTTTTGTCTATCTGTACAGTTTTGGATGCTTTATTTAGAAGCATGGAATTTTTCAGGCACTGACTTGAGCAGATTCCAAGGAAAAAAATGGCTGTTACATCTCCTTCCTGTGAGGCTTTGAATAACCAGAGCAGGTGCTCTGCCACTTCCATATGGAAGTGAGCCTGTGGCTGCAGAGCCTGGCAATTGCTGATGTTTGCTGCTGGTTTTCCTTCATGGTCTGTGATCCGGGCTCTGCATGCCTGGAACTGGAATGAGCTTGGGAAAGCCCTGAAGGTGCTGGGTGAACTTCCTGCTACTTCAGTTTAGGAGGAAAGCATGCTTCAGGAGCAGCCTAGTTCTCCAAACCAGGTGTATTCCAGCAGCCACCCCACTGGCTGTAATCCCTGAGGAATGTCAGGCAGCCCCTTGGTGCCTGAAGTGCTCCCAGGGAGCTGCAGGCACTGGGAAAAGCACCGAGCTGCCAGCAGGGAATAAAACCAGCAGGGACTCTCTCAAGTGTGTGCTTTTCACTTGTACCCTCTGAGGTGGCTCAGTGTGCAGAGAAAGAAAGGATTTGCCCTTCAGAGTGGGAATTGAGGGGAAAAGGTGGACAGTGGGATGAATGTGGATGTGGGAATGAGGATGAGGAGGCTGAGGTCTCCGAGCATTGAGCAGAGTCTGATCCACTCCCAGTCACATTCCCATTAAATCTGAGGTGCAAACAGTGTATTTTGAGTGGTGCATTGCAGCAGCAGACTTTAGCTCTGTCCCAAAAGACAAAATAAGTCAGAACTGTTGCTTTTCTTGAGCTGTGAAGAAGTTAAAAGTTCTCAGTTTGTAGCTAATCCAGGTTTTTGCCAGCAGCACTGCTGCAGAGCTTGCTCCTTATCTCCTTCCAGCAAGACACCCGGCCTCTGCCAGCACCTGATTTGCAAGATACATCCTTTGCATAATTAATTTCCCATGAAAAGTTAATCTCCTTGCTGGGGAGGGTGATTCATCCCTGCAAATATCCTGAGCACTGCCCTCTGCCTCCCGCAGCTACGCCATGCCCACCAAAACCAACGAGGTGCTGTTCCTGGAAGAGAGGGGATCCAAAATGCAGCTGGATGCAGTCCTTACCACCCACCAGAGGGTTGTCCAGGTAGGAGCTGGGATCCCATCACAGGCTCCACAAAGCCCTCAAACATGTAACAGATGAAAGGCAACATTTGGGCAGAAATGGAAGCAAAAAGTCTGGATACGTTTCCTGCTGAGTGTTGCTCCTGGACTAGAAGCTCAGGAGGATTTCCTGGCTCTGTGTTTCAGGCAGAAGAATTATTATCTATTTTTCTGCAGAATAATTGATTGGGGGGGGTTAGAAAAGTCATGCTTGGGGATGGGTGAGGGGAGAAACTCAGAGGGTTGGATGGGATATTGGGAAGGAATTGTTCCCTGGGAGGGTGGGGAGGCCCAGAGAAGCTGTGGCTGCCCCTGGATCCCTGGGGGTGCCCAAGGCCAGGCTGGAACAACCTGGGACAGTGGAAGGGGTCCACGGCAGGGGTGGCACCAGGTGATCTTTAAGGTCCCTTCCAACCCAGAATCTCCTGGGATTGTTCTCCTGCAGCTCCGCCATTTCTGCTTTCAGATCCGCGGCTTGAGCTCCACGTTTGCTCCCATCCTGCTGGAAATCATTCAGAGTAACCAGCCTGAGGGGGTGCATCTGTCGATGAAACAGGTATGCTTACACTTCCCAGTGCTTTCCCTTCAGGAAGCAGGGACAGGGGTCTGGGTGATCCTGATTTCTGCTGGTTTTCCCTCCCTGCACAGCACACGGAAGCCGATTTCAAGAGCCGGCTGAAGTCTCGACCAGAGCTGGAAGAGCTGCTGGCAGAGATGTCCTGAGGTGAGGAATGCCATCCATGGGCTGTTCCAGCCTCCAGAGGGTGCTTCCATGAGCTCTGTACTGATAACTCCGTGAACTGGGAGGAATTCCCACTGTTGGCAACCAGCTTGTCTCAATAAAAATAAATCATGAGTTTATATCTGACTGGTTTGTACTGGGAGCAAAGGTGCCACGATGGAATGTGGGTTTGCCTTCCTTCCATTTTATTTTTTTTTTAATTCCTGCCTATTTTGCTTTTGATAGGTGGGAATTTCAGCAGAAATCTCTGTGCATGAATAATGCTGTGCTGCAACAATCCCAGGAATTGTTATAACCAAATTTGATGGATGCCAAGAGAAACTGTTCCAGAAACTGGTTTGTTTGGAGGCTTTTTCCCCCCCTTTCTAAGGATCAGCTTGTGAAAAAGAGGGAAAATAACTCATTTATTTACACTCTTCCCCAAACTGGGGCTGTCCAGGTGTTGCTTGTGCTTCCATGCTCAGCCTCTTGGTATTCCCAGCACCCACATCCCTGGGAAATAGCCTGGAACCTTCCTTCTGACAAAAGCCATGCAAAAAGCAATTTTATTTTCTTTCTCATGGCTTATTTGCCAGCAGGTGGTGGTCAGATGAGAATCCATTTTTCTCCCATTCCTAGTTTTTCTGTGGCTTCCCAGGAGATAAATCCCATCCTGTGGGACGTGCTGGGAAAAGCCTTAGGATGGCACAGAGGACATGGAGTAAAAATCCATGGCAAAGCTGTTGTGGAGCCAAGACCCATCCTAAGTGCTGTGAATGCTCCTGGACTGGGACATTTTGGGCTGGAAATCCACAACCACAGAATCATTTTGGGTGGAAAAGACCTCTGGAATCACTGAGTCCAAGCTATGCCCAGTCACCAGCCTAGAGGATTGAGTGCCACGTCCAGTCATTCTTGGACACCTCCAGGGATGGGGACTCCAAACTCCAGGGCTGGGGACTCCAAACCTCCCTGGGCAGCCCTTTCCAATGTCTTAAAACCCCTTGCCAGGAAGAAATTCCTCCCGATGTCCCACCTGAATGCACCATGGCACAGCTCCGCGCTGTATCCTCCCAACCAGCCACCCTCTCCCGCTGGCACAGACCAAGCCGAGGGCTGCCAAACTCCAGATTTAATTTCCCAGCAATTCCCGCTGGCTTTCCAAGCGCTGGGATGAAAGTAAAGCCAGGAGGGGCGGTGATCAGTGCGGGGGCCGGGCAGGGCTGGGCCCGCGCTGCCGCCGCCGCTCCCGCCGGGCCATGCAGGCACCGAAGGCGCGGAGCTGCTCCTGGCAGTGCCGCCAGTCCTGCCGCTCCGCCATGCACTCCTGCAGCTGCCGGTGCTGCTCCAGGCAGCCGGTCCGCGCGATCCGGGCGTCCAGCGGGTCCTCGCCCTCCTCCGCCGCCGCTGGGCCCCCGCCGTGCCCGGCCCGCGCCATGCGCTGCGGACGGGACAGAGAACCGCCGCTGTCCTTCGGCATCTCCACCCCCTCCTCACCTCCCAAGGGTCCCATTCCAATGGATCTCCAGCCCCTCCTCACCTCCCAAGGGTCCCATTCCCCCCCGGATCTCCAGCCCCCTCCTCAATCCCCTCCCTGCCCACCCGTGGGTGCAGCCCCCCGTACCAGCGCAGCGCGGCCCCTTTAAGGCGGGAACTCGGCACGGCACTTCCGGGACGTGGTACGGCCGCGCTGGCGCTCGTTGATTGGCGGGTTTCTCGCCTTCCTCTCGCGCGGGGGTCGGCGGGAAGCAAGGAGGCGGAAGTGTGTGCAGTTACCTCGGCAAAGATGGCGGCGACGCTGCGGATCCAGAGCGACTGGAGCCGGGCGCTGAGGTGGGAACGACCCCTTCCTTTGTCCGTGTCCTTGTCCTTGTCCCGCTCCCTGCCCCGCTCACGGCCTCTTCTTCTCTCTGCAGCAGGGACGAGGGCGAGGCGTGGCTGAGCTGCCGCAGCCCCGGTGAGTGGCCTGAAGAGGCCTCGAGGGAGCCGTGAGGGTGAGGCGGGATCGGGGAGGTTCTGGGGCTGAGGGGTGTTCAAAGAGCAGAAGCGGATGGGGGCTGCCCCGTGTGTTAGCAGGGAACGGGGCTGCCCTGCGGTCCCTTGGTTTAGAAGGGACGGGGAGGTTTGGGGATCGCTTTGTTTTCAAAGGGCCTGGGGTCAGTGAGGGATGCTGAGGGCGCTAGGAAGGGATGGCGGTGTTTGAGATCCTTGCGGCTGAGGGGGTTGGGGTCCCTCTGAGTTGGGGGGGACCTTTGGGGTGGCGCTGACGGGCGCTGTCCCCCAGGGAAGCCCACCCTCTACGGCAGCGTCACCCGGCGCGGGCTCAGCTCCGACGGCGTGCCGGACATCGCGGCCTCCGAGGGATTCGTGGTCGGGGAAGTCACCAAGGTACCGGGGCTGGGGGGACAGGGGTTGGTGACCATCCCCGTGCCTAGCTCTGACAGCTCCCTGCACACTCCTGTCCCGCTGTGCAGAGCCCTGCAGCTGGTCCCCACCTTCCCACCAGGAGCAGCCATCCCTTCCCACCTGCATCCTGAGATGAGCTCCACACTGACCCTCCCGTCCATTTTCAAACTCTGGGATCCCACAGCTGGGTCCAGTCCACAGTTCTACCCTGGCAACTTCTGTTTCAGGACTAACAGCACTTCTAATTCCTCTTATATCTTGTTTTCCCCTCTAGAAAAGCATCCTCATTTCTTGCCCTCATGAAAATGTGTCCACGAAGTTCCTGGCTCCATACACAAGTTTTTGTAGGATTCATCAGAAAAGTGTGAGTAGCCTTGTGGGGTTGGAATCTCTGGGTGTGACTGGCAGCTCCCACATCCCTGTCTGTAGTGTCCTCTGGGTGAGGGGTGGCCTGGAGTGTGGATCTGTGTGTGAGGGGTTGCAGTGGAGATGGAACTTGTGGTTTAGGGATGGTGTTCCCACTGGAACACCCTGGACCACATGCCACTGACTCCTTCCCCCTTCAGCGGGATGGAAATGGGGATTGGAGGCACAAAAAACAAAGATCAGGGTTGAGATAAGAACAATTTACTGAGAGCAGCAATGGAATTTAAAAAGCAACAGTAACAACAACATTAATTAATAAAACATACAGGACAGGGAAGAGATCTGCTCACCACAAGGAACCCAAAAGCAGTGCAACCCAATATCCCAAATGTGCCCCTCCCTGCTCCTGTAAAAATTAACCCTGGCCAGAAAAAGAACATTCCCCACCCCTCATTCTATCCCAAATCCCACACCACCCAACTATGTCTATACACACAAAAGCACAGGAATCATTCCCTTAATCAAAGGCTGTCCCTCCTAAATGTCTCAGGATACATATTTATATCCATTATACTGCTTTTCCTTGTCACCAGTGGACTTCCAGTCCCCCTCATTGGTATCCAGAGGCTTTTTTAGCTTTTAAATCCTTCTGATTTTTTTCTCCTGCTGCTGTTTTTTTCATTTATACTTCTGAGCCTTGTGAAATCAATCCAGCCCATTGTTTAAGACCTTGTTCTGCTGAGCACTTTTCCCTGGGAGCTGTTCTAAAACCCCGATCTTTTCCAAGGCCTGGCTTTGCAGCGCTGTGAGCTGCTCAGGGGTGCAGAGGTGTCTGCAGGGAGCACAGCGTAGCCACGGCACACGGGACAGGTGCTGGAGTGCTCCTGGAGCCACGTCCTGATGCACTCCCTGTGGAATTCATGCCCACACTCCAGCTCACACGAGCTCCTGCCCAGCTCCTCGTGGCATATCGTGCAGGGATCATCGCCACGTTCCTCGGGCCGTGTTTCCACGTGGGAGGAGCTGTCCCGTGGAGGGGAAGAGGGTTTCAGTGTGTAGTCCCAGATGAAGCACTTTAATTTGAGCACCTTCAGGTTCCTGTTCCACGCGAGCGATGACAGTGCCTTGGCGTAGAGCGGCGGCGCGCTCTCCCTCAACGCCTGCCACGTGTCCCAGGTGCAGCAGGCTCTGTCCAGATCCTCCAGGCACTCACTGTTCCCAAAGAGTATGTCAGCCATGGATAGTTCTGTCAGGTACTGGACCCCTTCCAGCCTGGTGTTCCAGCCGTGCCGGCGCAGCAGCAGCTCCTCCGCGGTGTACGCTTCCCTCACGCTTGCCACCAGTCGCATCCAGAGGCTGTGGGTCCCTGTCCTCCTCCCAAGGCCCCTGTCAATGGCCCTGTCCCGGGACAGGGATCCCAGGTGCTTGGCTTCGGAGCTGTCCAGCAGCACGTCCACGTGGGCCCCTGCAAACCAGCACTCGTAGAGCCACAGCAGCAAGGGCTGATCCGCAAGGCGGGTGAAGCGTTCTCGGACCAGCTGCAGCTTACGCTGGGATTCGCTGGTTAGCTCTGCCTCCCCTTCTGAGGACTCTTCCTCCTCTTCCTCCTCTTCATCATCTTCATCCCTCAGTAAGGAAACTAATTCGGTGTTCTGTTCAGGAGCAACTGCTCCCAGCATGGGTTGTGCCTCTGGTGTGGCTGCAGTTTGAGCGGCCACGGTGGCTGTTGTACTGTTTTCCTCTTCCTCCTCCTCTTCCTCCTGAGGGGACTGGCTGGTATCCAGCAGTGTCCGATACAGAGTAGCCAGGGCCCAGCAGAGAGCAGTAAGTTGCTCCTCCCTGGAACCACCACAGCGTTTCTGTTTCAGATGTTCTGCCACCTTAATGGGGTCCTGTATTTGCTGAGGGCTGAACTTCCAAGCCACTGGAGCTGAATACTCCTTCAAAACCTGGCCGATTTTCTCCCACCTTCCATGCCACTTATCATTATCCACTCTCTGAAAGACCTTTCCAGTGATCCCTTTTGTAACTCTGAAGATGAAGTAGACCATACAGGTGATGTAGACCAGAGGGAGGAGGTATAGCAGACAGAACAGCAACGTGCTTTCTTCAGTATGCAGAGGCAGCTCAAAAGGTATTTTAAGAGGCTTAAAGGAGTTAAAGGAGGTGAAAAGGTTATGAAAGTATTCATCCCCTTTTCCCCCCATGGAACCATTAGTAATGGTCTCCTGGAGGTGGTGTATAACGCCACAAGCTGATATCACAAAATCCACGTACATAAGAATCTTGAACCATCTCTCTAAACGGTTAAAGTGCATTATCAGGACCACACAGGGAAATATAAACCTGCACACGTACCACTCCACGAAGAGCTGACTAAGCCACATCGTGACCAGCGACTGTACCTAACACACCAAACACTCAGCTCAAACTCGCTTCCAGCCCTCTGCGGGCAGAGCTGTTAGGTTTGGGATTGGTATTCCCGAATTTAGCGCTCCCACGGGCGCTCGGTGGGAGGCTGCAGAGGGGAACCGGAGCACCGAAGGCAGCGACTCACTGGGAACAGCAATGGGACAGGGACTGACCGCGGGGACCCGGCCGGCGAGAAGGAAAGCGGGAAAAAAAGGACATTTTCCCGCCGCCGCACGGAGAGGTGGGATCAGGGAACATCCTCCTCCTGGCCCTGCCCCTCTGCTGCTGGGATACTTAACCCTGTCCTGGCTAGAGCTCATCTGCGTTTCTTGTTCCTGTCCGTGGGTTTTACCGCTGTGGTGGGGGTTTTTTTCCCCCCCACCCAGAGCCTGAAAATTCCTTTCAAAAAATGCAATGCAAATGCAGCTCGCAGCATCACAGAATTCCTAATGTCGGAGAAGACCTCTGGGATCACCGAGTCCAAGCTGTGCCTGATCCCCCACCTTGTCAGCCCAGAGCACTGAGTGCCACCTCCAGGGATGGGCACTCCAAACCTCCCTGGGAAGCCCCTTCCACTGTTTAAAACCCTTTTCCATGAGGAAATTCCTGCTGATGTCCACCCTGGCCCAGCCTGAGGCTGTTCCCTCTCCTCCTGTCCCTGTTCCTGGGAGCACAGCCCGACCCCCCGGCTGTCCCCTCCTGTCAGGAGCTGTGCAGAGCCACAAGGTCCCCCCTGAGCCTCCTCTTCTCCAGGCTGAGCCCCTTCCCAGCTCCCTCAGCCCCTCCTGGGGCTCCAGACCCTTCCCAGCTCCATTCCCTTCCTATAGTAAAACAGGGTTCCCCTGATGAAGGAAATGATTGGTAGCTGACTCTATTGATTTAGAACGCTAAACAATCGTTTTATTAAAACTATATTATGTTACATTATACTACAAAGAGTACTAATGAATACTAAAGAAAAACCTGTGACTGTCTTGAGCTAGCTAGGACACAGCTTTGTCTCAGTAGGCTAATTAATATAAACAACTATCACCAGAATCCAATTAGGAACTCTCTTCAGGTGAACAATCTTCCTAACACATTTCACATGTGCAAAATCAACAGGAACAGCAAGTAGAGAGAAGACTTGTTTTCTCTTCTTCTCTCTGTGCTTCTCTAGGAAAAAACCTGGGAGAGAGAATTATCTCTGTCTTTGTTCAGAGAATGTGAATGCCACACCTTCCCTGGACACACTCCAGCCCCTCCATGTCCTTTTTCTGAGGGGCCCCAATTCATACAAAGAACTAATTTTGATTCCATGTTTCAGCAAATGTAGGCTGTGAATTTGGCTTCATAAATATCTCAAACTGTGTCTTGTGGGCTTGTGAGTCAGGCCAGTTACCCTGAGCTGTTTTCTCATGTCTCATTTGTTTACAGGACCTGTTAGAAAAGTCCAGATTTCTCTTCCACCTGGGATAAACCTGGAATACAGCTCCTGCTTGTGCAGACTTTTGCCTCAGTATTCCTTTTTCTCCTTGCCTTGCAGAGCCACAGGCAGAGAATGTACTTAGTGGGTCTCCCCCTGTACAGAACTAGGCTCTTGAGCAGAAATATTTATATACAGAATTATATATAAAGCTAATTCTTGGTGCTTTTACCTTGCAGATTACCTGCCTTGATATTTCCAGTGGTGGAGGACTCGGAGTGTCTACCAGCACGGATGGGACCATGAAAATATGGCAGGCTGCAAATGGAGAAATAAGAGTAAGAACATCTGGGTGGATGTTTTTGTGTTGTCTGTGACATTCCTGAAGGCCATGACTTTGGTCAGACTGTTCACACCCTGTGAAAAATCTGGCTTTGTAATGAAAATCTAATTGAAATTGGGCATCTTGGAGGCTTTTAGTCAAATCTGTTGGAAAAGGTGGCTTCTCCCAAGGGGCATGTTGCTCAGAGAGGTACTCAGGGGTAGCAGGCCACTGACAGCCCCTATCCTGCATGGGAAGAAAGACTTTGGTGCTGGGGAAAAAGGATTTTGGTGCTGGATTAGCTACATCCTGGCTTGTGGCCTTCCCAGTAAAGGGGGAAAGCTCCTTCTTGTGGAGCTTGACCTGTCAGCTCCTTGTTTGCAGAAGATAAAGATATTTAACCTGTATTTAGAAGCAAATGTAGTATCTTTTGCTGTGTAATTAGCTGCTCAGATAGTAGAGGGAAGGCCCAAAGTCACCTCTTTGACTGCCCCAAATTCAGACCAGTCCATTCCAGCAATGCAGAGCCAGAGGATTTGGGTTTAATCCTTTGCCCATGTGAGAATGCCAAGTTTTCCAGTGTCACAACTCAACAACTGCTCGGCACGAGGACGATGACAATGGAACTAGCACGTAGTTCTTTGTTTTTCCAGAGACTTTTGGAAGGCCATGTGTATGATGTGAATTGTTGCAGGTTTTTCCCATCGGGCCTCGTGGTTCTGAGTGGGGGAATGGATGCCCAGCTAAAGATCTGGTCAGCAGAAGATGCCAGCTGTGTAGTAACATTTAAAGGTCACAAAGGAGGTACAGAGCCCTTGAAATGCTTCATTTGCTGAGTGTGTACTTGCCTTGCATTCCAGGGCTGATGTCCAGTCTGCAGCCTGCTGCACTCTGTGTTTCATGTCTGGAATGTGGCATCAGATGCCCCAAACTCTACCCCAAGTTCTCTCTTCCCTGAGCTGCCAGTTGCTGTGCCCAGGCTCTGGTTTTCCCTGTCCCACGACGTGCTGAGCTTCATTGAGAGGTTAAAAAACCCTGTGGCTGGCTGCCCTAAACTTGTTTAACTCAAAAACCCATCTTGTGCTGAACCTGCCATTGTTCTTACATGATTTGGGGGTTGGAACTTGTTCTTCAAGGTCCCTTCCCACCCAAGCCATTCTGTAATCTGTTTGTGTGCATTGAAAATGCTTCTGCAGCCATGTCCCCAAACCAAACCAGATGGTGGGGCAGAGCCTTGGTCAGAGTGTCAGTCACTCTCCAGGTGACCTTAGTCACTGCTCATTCCTCCAGCCCAAACTGCTGCAGTCTGCCTGCTTGGCTTATCCTGTCCTTTGAGCTTCTGTAGGGAAAGTGCCAATTAAATCTTCTGACCGCCTGGCAGTTCTCTGCTAAGAAAACCACTGTCATTTTTCAGATCCAAATTTGACAGCCCGCAGTAAAATAAAGTAGTTAAGAGATCTTAGTGCCAGCCAACACTGCTCCTTGGATGTTGCTGCTTTTGGGATTATCCAGGGGTGGACATGGAAACGTTTAAAAGTGCCAGGCTCTTTTCCGCCCAAATTCGAGGTTAATTTTGTGTGGCACCAGCCCGGGCTGAGGTGAGGTGTTGCTGATCATTTGATGATCAGCAAACCACCTTTGTGCCAGATGGTGGTTCCACTCTGTGGGGTTTTCTGGGAGCTGCTGCCTTCCACAGGCACCTTTTTCTGGGAGCACAGCTTGTCTGTGTGTGACTGCCGTCACTGGGGGCAGCGGCCTGGAGCCAGCAGTGGGGCTCAGCGTGGGAAATCGGGTGCTGTTTGTGTCCGTGTGAGCACAGACTTGGCTCTCACGCAGGTGTTCTGGACACTGCCATTGTGGATCGGGGCAGGAACGTGCTGTCCTGCTCCAGGGATGGCACTGCCTGTCTCTGGGACTGTGGGAAGTCTGCCTGCCTGGGCGTCGTCGCCGACTGCGGCTCTCCCGTCAACAGCATCGCCGTGGCCGCTGCTGACAGCTCCCTGAACCTGGGCACGCCTGAGAAACCTCCCAGTAAGGGCCTTTCCCTTAAAACCCCCTCATCTCCCTGTCCCAGACTGCTTAGGTCTGGCCCCAGTAATCCCAAGTGTTGGGAGTGCTGCTCCGTGTAGCACCGTGGGAAGGGAACAGGGCGCTCCAGTCCTGGGTGGAACGCAGCCCTGTCAACCTTCATCACTGTTGGGTGATGAAGACTGGGCTCTGGCCTTCCTGGTGTCTTGGGATCTGGAGGAATCTGGCCACAATTCAGCTGGGGCAATCCCAGCTGGGTGGTTCTGTTTGTTGTGCAGCTACTGCTGGAGTTACCTGTTGTCCTTTTGCCAGGTGAACATGAGGTGGGGACAGAAGGGAAAATCCTGCTGCTGGCTCGAGAGGACAAGAAGCTTCAAGGAGTGGGACTGCAGAGCAGGCAGCCAGTAAGGATCTGTCAGAGCACTGGGATGGGGAATTGAGCCAGGTTAAACCTAAACTGGAGGAGAGGCCAGAGCCTGGTGCAATAAAGGGATGCTCTCTGTCCTTCCTCCTGGACAGATTTTTATGTGAGGAGTGAGAATTGCTCAGGATTTAACTTGGGAACAGGGAAAACAGTACTTAAAATTAAACAGTGGCAGCTGTACTGTCTTCTAAATAAAGGACTGCTTCCCTCTCGTGGGTGTCCCACGTGCCTGACACTTGGTTTGTTCCCAAATCCTCAGGTGTTCCTCTTCATTGGGTCTGATGCCTTCAACTGCTGCACGTTCCTGTCAAGCACCTACATTCTGGCAGGCACTCAGGATGGGAACATCTACCAGCTGGATGTGAGAAACACAACGTGAGTGAGTGTTTTGGTTGGAAAAGAGAGTCAGGCAGAGAGTGCTGCCAGGCAGTGCCACTTCCAAGGGGTGCATCCCATTGCATCCTGAGCCTCTTGCATTATTTTGATGTGCTGTATTGTTATATAAAATGTGTATAATTGTATATTTATATAATCTGTGTGCACATGAGTGTAGATAAATTGGGCAGAAAACTTCTTATCATCAATATTCCCTCCTCCCACACAGCCCATTTCTTTTCCCTCATGTGGATCCTGACATTTACCCTGATCCTCATTCCAGCACAAGACGGGAGCTGGGCTGTGGAGTTTTATTGCTGTTCCCTTCTAGCTCAGTCCACAGGAAAGAATCCTGGATTGGTTTGTGCTGGAAGGGACCTTAAAGCCCATCCAGTGCCACCCCTTCCCATGGGCAGGGACACCTTCCACCATCCCAGGCTGCTCCAAGCCCTGTCCAGCCTGTCCTGGAACCCTGCCAGGGCTCCAGGGGCAGCCCCAGCTGCTCTGAACAGCAATCCTCACCCTTGTTTCTGCTCCTTTTCCTAGTGCTCCAATCCAGGTGATCCACAGGTCAGGAGCACCAGTGCTTTCCCTGCTCCCATACCGAGATGGATTTATTGCCAGCCAAGGTAATTCCAGGGCTGTTTTGTGCCCCTAGAAATCCCATAATCAAGTCAAGGAGCCTTGTGCTCTTTGGGCATTGTCCTCTTACCCCTTTGCTTTGGGATTTCCACCCTCCACATCCCTCATACCCCTCCAAGGAATGTCTCAGCCTTTTCCCTCTGGAATTTCTGTCCGTGGCTCGTCTCCCTGACTGGCTGCCTTGCCTTCCTTGCAGGGGATGGCACCTGCTTCATTGTTCAGCAGGACCTGGATTATGTCCTGGATCTCACCGAGGCCGACTGCGACCCCGTGTACAAGGTGGGGAGCGTGGGCTGTCCCTGAGGGGGAGGTGGGCAGGGAAAGCTGCTGCCAGGCAGGGGGCACTGCCTTTGCCTCAGCCTGCTCACCTCAGCACCTCCCTTCACGCACTTCTGGGCTTGTCTTTGTTCTTCTGCATGAATAATCCTAATACTTTGCATAAACCAATCCTCGGCGGAATTCCCTGGCTTTATCTCGGTTGTGGCTGGAGTGGTGGGGTTGGAGCAGCTCTGTTCCTATAAAAAGTGTGGATAAAGGGTGCTGGGAGAATCCTGAGGGTAAAAGCAATGGTGTTCTGCCTGACCCATCCTGTTCCTTTTTTTTTCTTTTTTTTTTTTTTTTTTCCTTTTCGGGGGTGGCTTCTTGGGAAAAGGAAATCTACACGTGCTGCAGGGATGGCATTGTGAGGAGATACCAACTTTCTGACCTTTAAGTGTTTGAAGGGGCCAAATAAAAGAGAAGAAAGGCTCTTCCAAGCTGATTTTCCTGGGATATGTGTGTATAAGTTTGAGGCTGTTGTGATGAACCAGGCTCCACACAGTGTTTTTGTAACAGGTCATATTTTTTTCCTACTACACAACTGGGATCAATTTTTAATTTAGAGAGGATCTTGTGTTGCAATGATGCTGTGGTTGCATTTCCAGCGCTGAAAATACGCTGTTTGTAGTGGGGGGGAAATAAATAGATAGAGGGGGAGAGGGGGTGCAGTGAAAGTGACTGTCACAGTATGGAGTGAAATAAACCGCTGCTTTGGTAACACCTGTGTGTGTTTCCATGGAATCTTGGGGATTTTTAAGAAAAAATAGATGCGGGGTGAGGATTGAACAGGCCCGGCAGAGTGCGGAAGTGAGCGTGAGAACTACATTTCCCTTGGTGCCGCGCGCGGCGCGGACCGGAAGTTGTGTCGCCATAGCAACGGGACGCCATGGGGCTGGACTACTACGCCGTGCTGGAGCTGGAGCGGGGGGCCACCGCCGACGACATCAAGAAGGCGTGAGGGACCCCCGGCATCTGAGAGAGCCCTGGGCCGGGAGGCAGCCGGGGGTGGCGGTGGCAGTGGGGCGGCCCCGGGCGCGGCTTGGCCTTCTCCCTGCCCCACAGTGGGGAAAGGGTCTGGGGGTGCGAGGGGCAGCCCGGGCTGGGTGTGGGAATGGGTCAGTGGGGGAATGCTCACCTGGAGAGGAGAAGGCTCCAGGGAGAGCTCAGAGCCCTTGCAGCGGCTCCAGGAGAGCTGGAGAGGGACTGGGGACCGGGCATGGAGGGACAGGACACAGGGAATGGCTTCCCAGAAGGCAGGGATGGATGGGATATTGGGGGTGGTGAGGCGCTGGCACGGGTTCCCCAGAGTAGCTGTGGCTGCCCTTGGATCCCTGGAAGTTGCTCCAAGCCCTGTCCAGCCTGGGATGGTGAAAGGTGTCCCTGCCCATGGCAGGGAATGGGAATGAGACGGGCTTTAAAGTTAACCTGAACCATCCTGTGATCCCTAGCTATCGGAAGTTGGCTCTGAAGTACCACCCACTGAAATGCAAGGAGCCCTGGGGCCCCAAGAGGTTCCAGCAGCTGGCAGAGGCCTACGATGTGCTCAGCGACCGTAAGTGGGAGTGTCCCCCTCCTGGAGTGTCCCCTTCCCGTGACTGCAGGGGCAGGAGGGGGCTGTGAACTCCTGCTCCCTGGCAAGAGCAGCTCCATGTCCCTCAGCCCAGCTGGAATCTGACACTGCCCTGTCTGTCCCCCTGCTCCTGGGAACCCTCTTCTCCAGCCTGGATCTCAGCCTGGGGCTCCCCCTCATTTCCCAACACTTCCTTGTTCCCTAAGCTATGAAGAAAGGCATCTACGACAAATTTGGGGAAGAGGGGCTCAAAGGTGGCATCCCCTTGGAGTACGCGAGCGACAACCCCTGGAGCGTGGGATACGTGTTCCACAACAACCCTGAGAAAGTCTTCAGGGAGTTCTTCGGAGGGGACAACCCCTTTGCAGGTAGGCTGGGAGACCTTGGGGCTGGCTGGGCTCTGCCTGGGGCTGCCATGATTCCGTGGCAGTGCCAGCCCAGAACATCAAGCTCTCCAGGAATGCTTCCCTGTCCAGCTGCCCTCAGATCCCTGTGGTGCTTGGAGGAGAGATCCTGCCTTCCCCTAGGGAGGCCTGCAGCTGCACGTCCATGCTGTCAGCTTTCCCCAGCTGCTCCTGTGACCCTTTCTGGGATTCCCATCACAAAGAGGGATTAGGGAGGCGAGGCTGCCACAAACACTGCTGGAAAGAAACCACTCGGCGTGGTTCCGGGTGGGAGGTGGAGGGCCCAGAGCTCTGAGCCCCGTGAGGGCTGTGCCCCTGCTCCTTCCCACAGAGTTCTTTGCCGAGGATGGCTCGGAGGTGCTGCTGCCCTTTGGAGGGCCCCGGGGCCGGGGGGCCCTGCGGCGGGACCCCCCCATCGTGCGGGATCTCTTCGTGTCCCTCGAGGACCTGTTCCACGGCTGCACCAAGAAGATAAAGATCTCCCGCAGGGTAGGGGCTGGGGCTGAGCTCTGCCCTCGCTGGGGGATGTTTGGGATGGCCCTGCCCCACGAGCTCGTGGCAGGGAGGGATTAGCACCAAACCCAGGAGGAGCTGAACCAGCGCTCCCCACCCCGGCTTGGCAAAGGGAATTCAGCACGGGAGGCAATGTGGGAGCTGGTAGGAAGCGAGGGCTGATCTCAGAGATGGGTGGAGAAGGAGCTCAGTGTGTTCTGGGCTCCCATACTTCCATTTTCACACTGCATTGTGCCTCCTTTGTGTGCCCTTGGTGACCTCTGTCCCCCTCGTTGTTGTCCCAGCCTCCTGCACCCAGCCCTGAGTCTCTCCTGCTCTAGGACATGAGGAAACAGCCTCAAGCTGGGCCAGGGGAGCTTTAGGCTGGATATCAGGGGAAATTTCTGCACTGAAAGGATGGTCAGGCATTGGAACAGGCTGTAGTGGAGTCCCCATTCCTGGAGGGATTTAGAGCTGTGTGGTTGTGGCACTTGGGGATATGGGGGAACAATTGGACTCCCATGATCTTGGAGGGCTTTTCTGACCTAAAAGATCCCATGATCCTATGGATCTGATTCATGATCCTGTTTGTACCCACAGCCACTTTGGTGTGGAGTACGAGCCAGGCTTGCCCTTCCCTCTGGGGAGCAGAGCACTGCTGACCCTCCCTGTGCCCTGTGCCCAGGTGATGAACGAGGATGGGCAGACGAGCACCATCAGGGACAAGATCCTGACCATTGACGTGCAGCCGGGCTGGCAGCGTGGCACCAGGATCACCTTTGAGAAGGAGGGAGACCAGGTAAGCACAGAACCACAGAACCAGCAGGTTTGGAAGGCACCCCTGGAGATCCCCTCATGCAACACCCCTGCCCAGGCAGGAACTCATCCAGGTGGGTTGGGGATGTCTCCAGAGAGGAGACTCCATGCCCCCTCTGGGAAGCTGCTCCAGTCCTGTGCCCACTCCATGGAAAAAGTTCTGGTTCCCCACTGCTGAGGGCACTTGGCAGCGTGACCAACAGAGAGACTCAGCTCAGAAGCACTCTGAGGAGCCTGGATTTTCCTTAGAACAGGTTAAAGAAAAAATAATTGAAAAGGCTGGTTTTCTTCCTGGCAGAAGCACAGTTCTGGATTTGCCCTTGGCTGTTCAGGAATCTTGGATAAAAGATTCCTTTTTCTTTTAAGGGAAGAATATCTTTCCCTTCTCTCTAGCCAGCTGAAAACAGCAACAAAAGAGGAGCAGGAATCTGTGTCAGTTTTCCCTGTATAAAATAATTTTCGGGTTTCCAAGGACAGGTTGGATGTGGCTTGGGGCAACCTGGTCTGGTGGAAGGTGTCCCTGCCCATGGCAGGGGGTGGAACTGGGTGAATTTTAACGTCCCTTCCAACCCAAACCATCCTGGCATCCCCTGATTCTGTGACCTTTTTCCCCCTCAATCAGGGCCCAAACATCATTCCAGCTGACATCACCTTTGTTGTGGAAGAGAAGCTTCACCCAAGGTTCAGACGGCTCGAGAACAACCTCCTTTATGTTGCCAGCATCTCCCTGGCAAAGGTAAAGGGCCGAGTGAGGGGACAGAGGTTCACCCTTGGGCTCTGGGGCTGCAGCAGCAGCTCCTGGTGCCCCTCCACGCCCGGCAGGCACTGACTGGATGCACCGTGGATGTGTGGACGCTGGATGGGAGGCTGCTGAACATCCCCATCAACGACATTGTGCAGTAAGTGCCGGGGGAAAACGGGGCTCAGCGGCACTTGGGAGGAGCTCAGCCTGCTCCAAAGCCTTTTCCAGCAGCTTTGGGGCTGCAGGAGGAGGAGGAGGCCCACAGTGGGTGGCTCTTTGGGTCTGGGGCCACGTTGCTGGGAGCAGAGGCAAGGAGAGGGCTGGGTGCGGGTGGATGAGGGTGGATGCTGGAGCCTGGAAGAGGAGGGGACGGGCTCTGGGTAAAGCTGGAGGAGCAAATAACCTGAGAAACCCAGGTGGGGCTCTGCAGGGGGGCTGGGGGTCGTGGCTCTGTGTTGGGACCATGCCACAGCTCCTCTGAGCCCCCTCCTGTGCTCGGCAGCCCCAAGTACTACAAAAGGGTGCCGGGGGAGGGAATGCCACTGGCCCAGGACCCGCGGCGCAGGGGCGACCTCTTCATCTACTTCGACATCCTCTTCCCCAAGACGCTCAGCCCTGAGGTGAAAACACTCCTGAAGAGCATCCTCCAGCCCTAGAGACAGTGACCTTCCCCCTCTCCCCGCTCTGTTATCCCCCCAATAAAGCTTTGGAGCCAGCACTGGGACTGAGCAGTTCTTTCAAATGCTGGGAACCCCAAAACACAGGGTCACCCTGAAACAACAGCCCCGAGGCCTGGCCCAGATCCAGGAGGTTTTGTGGTCTCTGCTCTCCAGCTCCCACCCTACAGCAGCAGCTCTGCAGCCCTGGGGAGCCGAGGGAGGTTTTGGGGTGGATAGAGGGAGGCACTCGTGGCCAAGACCCTGCCCAGCAGTCTCAGTGCTTTATTTTCCTGACCCACAATCTGTCCCTGCTGAAGGTGAGCCCTGACAGCACTGGGAGAGGTCAGATAACACCTGTGTTTTCCAGTGGCACTCCAGGGCTGGGAGAATGCCCTAAAAAAAGGGGAGGAAACCTGTAACCTCAGCTCTCTTCATAGAGAGCAGGCAGGCACAACTTCCCAAGGATCTTTCATGGGAATTGCAGCGAGGAATCTCAGAAAGCGAGAAGACAATTCTGATCTCTATTCTCTGCTCCTGTTATTTTGCACATGTGGAATGTGTTTACCTGAAAGGAAGATTGTTTACCTGAAGGGACTTCTTAATTGGATTCAGCCGATGGTTGTTAATATTAATATTAATTGGCCTATTGGGCCAAAGCTGTGTCCTGGCTGTCTCAGACAGTCACGGGTTTTTCTTTAGTATTCTTTTAGTACTCTTTAATTTTAATATAGTATGAATGTAATATAATATAGTTTTAATAAAGCAATTATTCAGCCTTCTGAATCAATGGAGTGAGATGCCAATCATTCCCTGCATCGGGGGCTCCCTGCATTCGATAGGAACCCTGACCCTGCCACGATCAGACCCCACAGGGGTGGTTTATTGCAAGTGCCAGTAAGGAACAGTGGGAGGCTGTGCCGGGAAAAGCAGTACTGAAGGGAACGTGCCAGGCTGCCAGAATGTCCTTTCCAGGGAGTAAACCCCAGCAGAGAGGAAGGAGGAGCCCCGTGTGTTGTGCCAGGCCCCACAGCCCGCTGTCCGTGCGGCTGGGCCGTGTCGGGCCGTTCTCGGCTGTGCGACCCCGCGGGGCTGCAGTACCGCGCGTGTCCACAGGAGGGCAGCACCGCCCGCGGCTCCGGTGCCGGCTGCGACCCGCGTTCGCTCCCAGTGCCGGCCCAAAACCACTCCCGGTTGCTTACAGAGTTCATCTTATCTTTGCGAAAACCAGCCCCTGCTGCACAGAGCACCAGTCCTCAGTGATCTCCACTTCCCTGGAAAACCTGAGCCAGACATTGGGCTGGACAGGTCAGAACCGTCACGCGACTACTACAATTGGAGCGAGGTCCAACTAAAATGGAATTCTGGAGACAGCCTCCAAAATGCTGTAGTATACTTATTTAAAATGTCTCCAAAGGGCGGCAGCTCCTCATCCCTGAGCAGCGCAATTCCATGATCCCGGGGATCGCCCCGCGGAGCCCCGAGGGTCCCGGCCCCGCGGGGCTGCAGTACCGCGCGTGTCCACAGGAGGGCAGCACCGCCCGCGGCTCCGGCGCCGCTGTGACCCGCGTTCGCTCCCAGGGCCGGCCCAAACCCACTCCCGGTTCTTCACAAAGTTCATCTCTGCTTTGCGAAAACCAGCCCCTGCTGCACAGTGCTCTCCACTTCCCTGGAAAACCTGCTCCAGGCCCAGGCTGTACCAAGGTGAGCACAAGTCTGGAGAGTTCAGAACCCTCAGCCGGCTGCTGCATTTAGAGCGATATCCAGCTACAAATGGAATTCTGGAAATAGCCTCCAAAATGCTGTAGGATACTGTTTTAAAATGTGTCCAAAGGGCCGCCACCCCTCACCCCTGACCAGCACAATTCCATGATCCCAAGGGATAGCACGGTGAAGTCTCAAGGGTCCAGTCCCCGCGGGGCTGCAGTACCGCATGTGTCCACAGGAGGGCAGCACCGCCCGCGGCTCCGGTGCCGGCTGGGACCCGCGTTCGCTCCCAGTGCCGGCCCAAACCCACTCCCGGTTCCTTACAAAGTTCATCTCAGCTTCGGAAAAAACAGCCCCTGCTGCACAGAGCACCGGTCTGCAGTGATCTCCACTACTATCCTGGAAAACCTGAGCCAGACATTGGGCCGGACAGGTCAGAATATTCACCTGGCTGCTGCACTGGGAGCGAGATCCGGCTACACATGGAATTCTGGAAATAACCTCCAAAATGCTGTAGGATACTGGTCTGAAATGTGTCCAAAGGGCGGCAGCCCCTGCACCGTGAGCAGCACAATTCCATGATCCCGAGGGATCCCCCCGCGGGTCCCGGCCCTGCTGTGCCTCGGGGTCTCCACAAGGCGGCAGCACCGAGCCCGCATTCCCGGCAAACGGGAATTCCTGGGATTGAAGGAATCGGAGCCGTAAATTAAAGGAATCAAAGGATTCGGAGCATCCCGGCTGGCACAGCTCAGCTCTGAGCGCTCACTGGGGGGTTTGATCTGCACCAATCCAAACATAAACGTGCCCTTCTCTCCAGAATTTCCATCCCTACCTATTCCAGCCATTGAAAGTTCTTTTTTCTTACTGCATTCTTTGCCTAATTTTATTCTAACCATTTTCATCCCAAACCCCGTTTGTCAGTGACTCAATCCTTTATCACTTTACTTCGGACAAAATGAGGGACACCAGGGATGCTGGTTCTTGCCAGAACCTGCGGAAGGTGAGACTCTCCCTGGAATGAGCTGTACATGGTCCGTCCAGCCATGAGAGGGCACTGAGACCCAGCCCGTGGTGAAAAACATTCATTTAGGGAAAAACACTTCTGATTTTTGCTCTGTTCAGTGAGAAATTGACTCCGAATTCCCTCGGCCTCTGTCTGCTGAGGGGCAAAATCAATACGAGGGTTTTCTCCTCGTGCTGGTGGGAGAATTGAATCCCAAATTTGGCAGGAGGCTTTTACAGCTGATGGGAAAGGGTTAAAAAAAAAAAAAGCAGACAGCACTGCCCTGTGTGTTGCTTGTCATGGCAGTTGTGCCTCAGGACCTCTCCCAAAACCTCAGAGAGCACCCAAAACTTCAGAGAGCAGCCCAAAACTTCATAGAGCAGCCCAAAACCATAAGCAGGCAGACCCCAAGGGCTCCCCATTCACCCCTAGCTCAAATCTCTTTCCTTGACATACATTTTATGACCTAAAGACCCCATAATTAACTGTCTTATCCCCAAAATGTTTATTCTCTCCCCTCTGGATAAGATTTTCCATCCAAAATGTCCATTGCAGCTTTATAGAGCTGCTCAAGTTTTACCCCCAAATTTTCCATATCTCTCCACTACTGATCACCTCAGTTTGCCTCAAAATATTCCTTCTCTACCATGGAGATTACCTCAGATTTCACCCTCATAATTTTCACTGCCTGCCAATTTCTAATTACCTCATTTTTTACCTCAAAATCTTCATTGTCTCCCCTACAGATTAATTCAGATTTTATGGCCAAACTATTAATTTTGTCCTCTCTAGATTAACTCAGATTTTTCCTCCAAAACATTCCTTGTCTCTTACACCTCACAAAAATTTATAAATATATTCCATAATTAAAAAGAGGAAGTTGCTGAAAAGCAGTCAAAATTCTCAGTGAAAAAAAAACCAACAGGATGGAAACAGCAATGGTGTTGAAGATGTTTTTTTTGCCCAATGTCCTTATGGTCTGCAAGAACTGATAATTTTACTGGCAGTGAACTCTTGGTTCCCCTTAAAGGGAGGAAAGCAAAGTATTGTCAGCGCCATGAACTGCTTCACCACTGGAAAAAAACTTCCCAGTTCTCTCAGTGTGGCAAACAGAAGGTTCAGAGGAGGAATTAAACCCCAGAAGTGCATTTTGCTTTTCCAGCTCGCTGCTCAGCGGTGCCAGAACACCGAAATGCTCCTGAGCCCCATCCCCTGGCTCTGCCCTGCTCCCTGAGCTGCGCCACCTGAGACATCCCAAAATCATTTTTTGGGCAGGTTTCTGCACCTCTATCCCTGCAGGAGTTGCCGGGAGAGGGCACATCTCCACCAGGGATTGATTCCCTGCTGCCAGTGAGGATTTCCCAGCTCAGGAACTTCACCACCTACTGCTGCGGTTTTTCTGCTTTCCCTTCTCCTTTTCCCCTTTTCCCTTCCAGCCCCATTGCTCCTCGGGATGAATTTCCAGGCTGGCACTTGGAAGCGGGAGGTTAGTGGAATAAAATCTGTTTGGGCTCCAAATCGTTCAGCTGGAGCCTGCAGGACCCTCCTCTGCTCCTCCCCGGGGTTCCCGGGGGATGATGTGCTGCTGTTGCTGGGATGCTCGCTATGGAGAACCCAAAACCCTGCAAAATACCGATTTTCCTGCTCCTGAGAGCGCCTGGCAACTCACATCTGTCTCTTGTTTCTGACCCGTGTTGTGGAGGTAACAAAACCTTGTAATAAAACGTAGCAAGGATTCATTTGAGCCACGCTGAGAAGCAAATTCCCACGATTTCCCAGAAACTCAAACCATCCCGCTTCTCCCTCCAGAGTGGGGAGGGAAACACGAAAACCAGCCTCTTTAAAGCTTTTCTAAACCCACCCTAACCGAGTTTCCAGCGGCCCTGGGAGCGCCGGAATGCTGGATGCAAAGTGCAGGGAGCTGCTGGATGCCAGAGCTCTGCCCAGCCAGGAGCTTTGGAAAACCACACGGCTTTCACCGTGCGAGCATCACCGCTCACGTTCCCGCTGTTTTCTGCCCTTCCCTCTCCGATCCCCCATTTCCAATCCCCTAAACCAGTGCTGGGATGAGGGGGATTCCCTAAACCCGGCGTTTCTCTGCTGCCGCCCTTTAAACCCGGGATCAGCTCGCCAAGCTCAGTTGGAGCCGGGATTAGCGAGGCTTGGGGGCAATTTGCAAACGCAGAACTCTCCCCGGCTGCTGCTGCTTCAGGAGCCTTTTCTCAGAGCATCTCCCGGAGACACAAAGGGCTAGGCTTAGCTGTGCCAGTCCCCCTTGACAGGCTGCTGCGAAATTCCAGGTTTAAATGGCTCCTAAAGCCCCTCTGGGGTACAAACCCAGCCCCTGGCTCAGGGACACTCCTGGCAAACTCCTTTCCCCCTTCTGGAGCATTGACTGCGGTGCCTGGGAGCCCCAGAGGTTTTATTTAGAAATAACCCAAAAATACACTAAAATAACACCAAAAAACAACCCAAAATAACACCAAAAAACCTCCCCAAAATAACATCAAAAGATGTTAGGCCCACGTTTCCTTCAGGGCACTTTTCCTTAACTAAAATCTGGCTGCTTCTAGCAGCAAAAGGTTCCGTCAAGCTGGGAGGAAAAGCCTTTGGATCAGGCAGGAATGGGCTCACAGATAATTCAGGGCTCTGTGGGTCTGTCATCCAGAGGAGGCAGATCCGTTTCAACACTGGCAGGAGGAAAAACAGCTTTAAAAGTTTATTAAACAGCACGGTACATGTCAGTGTGGTCAGGAGACACAGAAACACAACACCCTGGCAGGACACAGAGCAGAGCTGGCCAAAGCAGAGAGAGCAGCAATGAAAACCCTGAGATAGGGCTGCTATCTAACCCAGATAGCTCAGAAAACAGAAACCCCAAATAGTTTAAATGCCAGTAAAATCACACTGCTTTTCTTTTCTTTTCTTTTCTTTTC